TTGGGTTGATAAAGAAATTATGGAAAAAAGGATAATGGGAAGTATCTTTTGTGTAGTTGAGTCTAACCATTGTAGGGACCAAGTTCAGGCGAGCCCGTGTGCACAGTAGATTAGGAAATCGGCGGTATAATTGTCGATTGGGTGATTTGAGCTTGGAGATCAATGGTGTAGACAAGATGACTAACAAAAGGGGAATTATGGGATGATTGAAATGGGTGTTAGTTTATATAATGGGGCATTCGGAATCACAGTGGTAAAATGCATGGTATGGGACTTGCAGATTTGCTTGCCCTATTATATAGATTAACGGGTTGGGTAGAATTGAAGTTCATTCATGCATTCTATAAATTGTACATTATAAATTTCACTAATCACATAAGACATAGGACCCCTACTGAGCATGTAATGCTCACCCCTTATTGAATCTATTGCAGGCTTTGAAACTGAAGTGTAGGTTTTGCTGAGGACAAGAAGAACGGATTATGGATAGTTTTGACTGTTTTGTTGAAAGTTTGTTACTTTCTTGTTATTTTGCTTGTTATTTTGCTTGTAATAATACAATGTAAATTACTTTGACTTAAATGGAAATTTACGTTCAATCTTCATGTTTCTTGATAATTAATTTTTAGTTTTTTTTTATTTTTCTTGTTAATCACATTCCCAAATTAAAAAAAAGAAATAATAAGAATAATATTAATTGGGGTGTGACATTTCAACACTCCTCATGTGGGACCATTTTTTAGTGGGCCACACATGCAATCAATTCCACATCAGTCACTTTTTTTTTTCTTTTTAATTTTTTTTATTTTATAAAAATTTGGGGTTTGTTTGATTTTGATTCAATTTGGAGTTTTTGTTTGATTTGAGTTTAATCGAGCCCAGTCAACCAACCTATCTCTGAGTTTTTTTGAATATGGTTTGAATGTAGGTTAATCTTATTCTTCTCCATAAGGAGATATATATAAGAGTTTACATGGTGCTTTATAAGGAATTAGATACAATAAAGAATTAGGAAAGTATCTCATAATTATACAATGATTTATCAACTATATAAAAATAGGAAAGTAAATCCCTTAATTAATCAAGGAAATAAATCTCCTTGATTAATTAGGAGACTCACGTCAAGACTCCTCCTCAAGTTGGTGCATATACGTCACCAATGCCCAATTTGGTAAGTGAGTCATGAAATACTCTTCCACGAACAACTTTAATTAAGATATCTGCGAATTGATCTTATGATCTTACGAATGGTAGGCGGATAATCTTCTTCTCAATTTTTTCTTTGATAAACTGTTTATCCACCTCAACATGTTTAGTTCGATCATATTGAACTGCATTATGGGAAATATCAATGGCTAACTTGTTATCACAACATAACTCCATTGGATTTTCTAGCTTGAAACCCAATTCTGTCAATAGTCTTCTGATCCATAGTAATTCACAAACTCTGTGAGCCATTCCTCGATACTCTGCTTCAGCACTAGACCGAGAAATCACATTTTGTTACTTACTCCCCCAAGTGACTAGGTTACCTCCCATAAAAGTGAAGTAACCTGAAGTAGAGCGTCTATCAGTAACAGAGCCAGCCCAATCAGCATATGTATATCCAACAACTTCAAGATCTCTATTTTTTTAGAACATTAATCATTTTCTAGATTCTGACTTTAAGTATCTTAAGATCTGATCAACTGCATTCCTATGGGACACACTGGGTGAATGCATAAACTGACTAACCACACTTACAACATATGCAATATCTGGTCTTGTGTGGGCTAAATATATCAACCTTCCAACAAGGCGTTGGTACTATTCCTTATTGGTTGGTTCTTGATTCATGTCTTCACATAACTTGTGATTCATCTCGATGGGTGTATCAGCAGGTTTGCATCCAAGCATTCCTGTTTCAGTGAGCAGATCTAATACATATTTCCTTTGAGACATAAATATACCAGTTGTGGACTTGGCTGCTTCAATTCCTTCATATCAAATTCCTGAGACAAATACTTCTGCAGTTTCAGTTGCTCTCCTGTGTCGTTTCCAGTTACGACTATTTCATCTACATAAACAATCAATGCAGTAAGTCTTCTTCCATCACGCTTCAAGAACAAAATGTGATCTGCATTACTTTGTATATATCCAAAATTCTTCATGAATTTAGTGAATTTGCCAAACCATGCCCTAGAGGATTGCTTTAACCCATATAAAAGACTTTCTGAGCATGCAAACTTGACTCTCCTTGTCACGAGCTAAGTTACATCATAGTGGTAAGTCCATATATACTTCTTCTTCAAGTCTCCATGTAAGAATGCATTTATGACATCAAACTGATGTAGTGGCCAATCGAGATTTGCTGCTAGAGACAATAGGACTCTAATAGTGTTAATCTTGGCTACTAGGGCAAAAGTCTCCTCATAGTCTATCCCATATCTTTGTGTGTACCCCTTCGTCACCAATCTAGCTTTATATCTTTCAACGGATCAATCTGCTTTGAGTTTCATAGTATAAATCTACCTGCATCCTATTGTCTTCTTTCCATGAGATAAGGGCACGAGTTCCCATATGACATTCTTTTAGAGAGCTTGCATTTCTTCATTCATAGCTTTTTTCTATTTTGGGTCTTCTAGTGCTTCAATTACACTGTTGGGGACATATATGTCAGCCAACTGCTTTCACATAGTGCACACGTGACTCTGATAATCTGCTAAAAGATATATAATTATTGATAGGGTATTTTCCTTTGGCTTTAAGATCTGCTTCACATTGTACTCGAGGTTTGCCACGGTTCTTCCTTTCTGAAAGCTGATATGTAGGCTCTGTGCCTTCTGAAATTAAATCATCATGGGATATTTCATTAGTGTTATCAGTTTCAGGACAAGATGTTACCTGAATGACATCTTTAGCAGGTGATTGGTGTGGTACTGGAGCTGAAGAAGTCTCTGGAGTGGGCAAAATCTCATCAGTTTCCTCTTCCTAAGTTGAACAGCAAGGAGATGACAGATCAAACAATCGAAACTCAGGCCGAGGCTATAATATGGCTTAAATTTTAATTTGGGCCTATCTACCAAATGATGGTGATTGTATGCCACTTTTTTTTTTTTGGGTGGTGTGCTCTCTAAGTTGAAAATACTAACGGTTAGGATCAACCATTGATGTCCCCAACTTCAGAACAAATGGCTAGGATAATGGCTAGACGTATACTATATAGACTAATCCTTGGCCAGGAAAAAAGAAAGTATTTTCCAAAGATTGCACATCATAGTGAAAATGATTATTCTCACATTACGACAATACTAATTACACTAAACTCGACTTTAATACTTAGATTTTGGAATATAATTGAAACTGATTATTCTGACAATAGAATTGAAACTGATTATTCTGACAACAGAATCACAACAATATCAATTAAACTAAACTCAGACCTAATTAGCACTTAGTGCTACATGACCTTTGGATTTACAGAAGCATATTTAAGCAGCTCCGGGTTGCTTTCAAAATGCTCCATGATCTCTTCACTAACACTCAACATTGCTTCTATTCCCTTGCCATCTCTTTTATCAATCAAAATGACCAAATCCTTAAGTCCAATACTAGGAATGCTCACCCATGCCGGCTTTCCCAATCCGAAATTAGCTTCATAAAAAGGAAACCTACACCAACTTCCAGGGCATAAATGGTACATGTCAACATTCCCTGTCAACTTTTGACATTCCTGATCCCATTGCCATGCCTTAATAGAATCAAATGGTAGTTTTGTAGGATAAGTTTCTTTCTGCTGTTCAAGCCCTTTCCTGAGTTTGGCAACCAAGTCTTTTAGATCTATGGTCTCATCGTCATTCTCTTCTTGACCTTTTAATAACGATGGTGTAGCGACGACTACTAAATTAGCAACAACGTTCCCACCCAAGTTTTGTGGGAAGGGTGGCTCAAATCGTCTGCGCAAGTCCATAGCCATTTTGAACGAAGATGGTCTTGACCCCAATGGTATGTTTGATGATTTGGATGATGCTTCCATAGCACATTTCCAAATGAGTGCTGAAACTACGAGGACACGTGTCGGTGCATGAGGTGCCGTTGCAATGGACAAATGTGATTGGAGGGTGGCAATCCTTGAGGCATCAAACACAAACCTCTTTGTTATGTACTTGATGCCCACCAGATTGGGTGGTGATGGCTGTGATGAGTTTAAGAAATCTAATGGTGGAAAATAAGATGCAGCATCAAATTTTGGGACCATGAAGGGTGCCTGATCATCGTGACAATCATCAAGGGCTGTTTTGGCCCAACAACTGATGAAGGCGCTAGATGTGGTGCCATCAACAACCCTATGTGAGAAATTCAACCCTATTGCCATTCCTCCACACTCGAACAAGTTGGCTTGCACAGCAAGCAACGGGAGCCTCGTGGCATCACCATCACCATCACCATCAGGTTGACCAATTGCTGGGACGAGCCCTGTTAGCATATCGGGATCTGGACGTTCAAAAATCTGCGATAAGGAACATTTAACTCGGGCCGTCACAAACTCAGCTCCATCATCAGTGCATTGGATCATGTCATGGCCTTTACTCAATCTTCCTGCTAAGGGGTAGAAGTGAGTGAGAGTTTTGGCTAATGACTGAATTAGATGCTGAAAATAATCTCTCTCCTTCATCCGCATGGCCGCCGTGTCTGTGGAAGTAGCTCCACCTCCTGAACCAGTAATATTATTGTTGGCGGCATAGAAGAGAAGCGTTGGGAAGTAAACGTGACTAGGAAGCATCTGATCCAAAACAGAGAGCTGTAGGGTTCTCAAGGGATGAGGAGTTGGGGATGATGGTTTGACTGTTTGCCTCTCAATGATTTCAACCTTGATCAAGTGTGTGGCCATCTTACTTTGTTCGCTATAGGCTATATCTCGCTAGCTAGAAACTAATATGACTGTTAGCTATATATCAAGTCTGTGGCCATCTTACTTTCTTTATGGGCAAAAGAAAGGATCTGCATGGAATGAGAGTCTTACAATTCTTGTGTGAGTGATTAGTTTAGTTAGGTGGGATTTTTATGAAGACGAGACTTGTAGTTTTGAAGACCAGATTCCTTTAGCTTGGCTTATAGTATAATATAATGTGTTACATGTGTTAGGTGGGAATTAGTGAAGACGAGAGAGACTTACTTTCCTAATATATATATATCCCGACAACTTACCATTTTAGGTGGAATTTAAATACCAGCAGACAGATTCTCTCAGGACATAATCAGTATATTATTGGACTTATTATGGGTTGAGGTTTTTATTTTATTTTAAATAATGTTCTCTAAATAAAATTCTCGTTTTTTTTCTTCTACATTATAATGTTGTTCTAATTTTTTTTTAATTTTTTTTTCTAGAGGATACATTAACCAAAAATGCCTTTAAAAAATAGTTCACATATTAAGCTACCAGACTCATTCTCGAATCCTGAGAAGCAAATTCGTTTTCTACTTTTCATTTTTTGAAAACATTCTCCAAAACTGTTACCAGACGGGCCCTAAAAAAATACCATGTATTGATATTCTTTCATTATTGTATCAATATGGTGCATATTGGTTTAAGATGAGGCTAAACTTTGAACTCTCTCCTTAATGAATGGTTGAGAAAGAATGCTCCGAGTTAGAAATATAGAAAATTTGACATAAGTTCAATTCTAATGAGAGATGTTGTGTGCAATCTACGTAGAAGTTGTTGTTCTAAGGCCCCGTTTGGGATTGCTTTTTTTGGCCAAAAACCTGCTTAACTTTAAAGTTAAGCAGTTTAAGGTGTTTGGTAAAAATAAAATATCCTGCTTATTTTAAAAGCAATGGTCTTTTGACAGCAGCTTTTAAAAGCAACCTCGGGGTTGCTTTTTAAAGCTGCTTTTAATTGAAGCAGCACGCTCCCTTTAATGAAATTTTTGCAATTCCACAAATACCCTTATTAGGTTAGAAATTTATCCTCACGTATTTCTCACAAATCTACAGACACCAAGTTCATCACGTAGCCTCCCAAGTTTGGAGACAACCATTCGCTCAATCTCTCTCAATCTCTTTCACAAGGTAGATTATCAATCTCTTCAAAGTTATTGATTATAATTTTCTGGGATATTTTTATTCTTCAATCTCT